ATTCAGCATGATGATGGGTAATAGTAAGGAAATTTTTCTCATTTGCTTTTGGGGCCTTAGGAACATTCTTTTCAGCCTTGGGTAACAAAGTATAACATATACTTTCTTTTTCAAGTTGRTAGGTATTCTTCCTACCCATGTGCCTTGCATCTGTATCAAATTTCCAAGGCCTACCTAACAAAATATGGCAAGCATTCATGTCTACAATATCACAATAGACTTCATCATGATACTTACCAATAGAAAAGGGTACCTTGCAGCGTTCCTCCACCCGTACGCCGTCTCCTTCCTTGATCCACCTAGTTGTGTATGGGTTGGGATGTTTTTCAAGAAGTAGTTGTAGATTTTGTATCACATCCCTGCAAATAATATTTTCTTGACTGCCACTATCAATAATTAAATTAAATAATTTACCCTTGACAGTACATCTAGTACGGAACAATTTGTGTTGATTTTTCTGGGACAGCATTAATTTTCTCACAATGCAAGTATACTCTTCATGTTCGTATGGACCCTCTTTATCTTTCCCATCAGGTCCACAGTATACTTCCTCCTCCACATCCTCTTCCTCCCCCCTTTCTACCATATTAACTGCCTTCCTCTTGGGACAGTCACTGGATCTATGTCCAATCTCATTACATTTAAAGCATTTAATAGGAGCAGACTGCATAGGGATTACTGGGTTTAGGAGGGTTGGAAGGGTTACCTCGAGTATGTCCTCCTGTAGTAACCTTACCGGCGTTAGCTGTACTTGCCGGGTGAGAAGGCTGAACTGCCGGGACTGATTTGTTCCTGTCGACAGTTGCCGGTCTGTTGTCGTTCTCGTTGTACCGGCGATATTTATCACTGCGTGCCTTGTCTTGGAACATCAATTCTACTTTCAAGGCTAGCTTCCTTGCTTCCTGCACACTAAAAACCATCTGTACCCCAATCTTATCTTTGATGGACGGTCTCAAACCGCTCAGATAACGGGCCGCTTGCTGGTTATCACTCTCAGATAATTGATTTCTTTCAGCTAATCTCAGAAATTTAGATGTGTATTCATTAACACTACGAGAACCCTGCGCACACCGTTGGTAAGATTCAAACATGTACCGTTCATAATCTGGGGGCAAAAATCTACCTCTTATAAGCTGTTTCATGCGCCTCCAGGTTCGAACAGGGTCCCTCCCTTCTCTGATCCGGGTCTCTCTCAGGCATTCCCACCAAACAGATGCGCCTCCCTTTAACCGGAAAGCTACCAGTTTTACCCTTCGTTCTTCTGGTATCTCCATGTATTCAAAGAATCGATCGACTTTTGTGGTCCAATCTAGAAGTCCCTCTATGCCAAGATCTCCACTAAAAGTAGGAATATCTACCTTGAGTTTAAATTCATCATTATTCCTACGGGGGTTGAAATTACCTTGATTGTGCCAATTTCTGCCGTTTCTGTCGTTGCCGAGAAGAACTGGAGCACCACCAAATTCTAGATCATCATCACTGTCGTCGTCAAGAACTAGACGTCGGAACGCAGTATTGACGGGTGGTCTATCGTGGTTGTCTCCTTCGATCTGATGTGGATTTTCCCGGTTCCGTGGAACAACCTCCCGTAACAAGGTTCGTAGTTGTTTAGTCACCTCTGCCAACTGCTGTTCGATGTTACGTGTGGCCGTGCATTGCTCTTCGATTGCTCTCCAAACAGCTGGGAACCCCTGATCTCCGTCATGGGGTGGATTGCGACTGCTACCATCTTGGTTGGCCATCTGACTGGGCGAATTCCCTACTCTCATACCTCCTAACGCAGCGTGGAAGCAATAAACCGGGATGGCTATGCAAGCACCGGACGAACCAAGCTTCTAGCGAAGCAAGAAAGAAAGAAAACTCGAGAGGAGAGAGAAAAGGTGGCGAAGATTGATGAATAATTCTGAAGTGTGTATTAACTGGAAAATAGCAGTATTTATAATACATCTGGAAATTGTAAAAGAACTAGGAAAGAACAACTAGGATAGATCCAAACATCTAATCTAATAGGATCGAACTCTTCTTGGTTTGATCTCCACCGTCCGATCTCCCTTGATGCATGAATCTTGGGAACCTTGGATTATCTTGAATTCTTGGAAATCTTGATGGGTCTTGAATTCTTGATGGATCTTGAATTCTTGATGAGTCTTGAACTCTTGAATTCTTGATGAGTTTTTTCTTGAATGATCCTATCCTTATCCTTATCCTATGGGCTGCCGCCCTCATGGTGAGATGGGCCTTGGAATGGGCCTCCATCAGTTGTGAGGCTTAAGATAGAAAAAGCTGAGTACCTGTGCAGAAGATTTATGGACTCCATTTAGTTCTTTCCTCATGACATAGACCAAATCCTGAGGAACAAACTGAGCTTGGGTACGTTGGTCGCTTACCCGCGAGGCAAGTCGTGGGATGAGTTGAGATCAGTTGGGCTTGTCCCTTCTAGCTGGGCCATGGTTAGTGTATGTAACAATGGAGGCATATTCAAGCTAAGGGTAGGCAAAGTACCTCTTTCTTGCCATATCTATTCGAAGAGCTCGAGAATGATGGATCAAATCTTCCCCTGCTTGTGGATACCGGCCCTGCCAGATGTCTTCCACCCCTTTGGCTTCTATTTCATGTATGGCATGCATGGAGAAGGTCGAAGGTCTGGCGAGTTGGTTCCTGCACTATGACGGTTTGTACATAACATGGCTATTGAATGTAAGGATTGTAAAGTAATCATAACGGAGGTAGGGGTTGCGACGCAGTGAGACTTGAAGAAATCCCACATTGAAAATTTTTATCCTGCCCTGAAGATTTGTGGTGCATAAAAGCGTTGAGAAAGGAATGTTAACATATTGTAATGAGATGGACAAAAACCCCAACCACAACTACAAGAGGACTCTTCGTCAACCCTAGAGAAGTTTGATTTTTGATGATTATTGAATCGAAAGGGCAAAGGGGCTCTACAACTACTACAACCCAACCCCCACTTAGATGTAAAATCTATGTGCCTGCAGTCCATCTCCATCCCAGACTTTCCTTATGGGATGCCTTGCTCTTGTTCCTTTCAGTTCCACGACATAGAATCACAAGAGATCTCTCTCTCTCCATTACTGCGAACATGAAACGGGCTAGGCCAAAGCGTTATAGGTACACACAAAGATGGCTTGAGCATGCCGATAGGAAGGTAGCAGGAGACTATTCTGAGTTCTGTATCTGGGCCAAGGTAGAGGAGCTCTACCTTGCTACTACTGGAGGAGAACCTCCTCAAGAAGTGAAACCCATGGTAGTGGAATTGGAGAAATTAGTTTCAGTTGGGAGAGAGAAAGAATGAGAGACCTGTTCATGGGCCGGGTGGCCCGACGGGTCGGCCCGGCCCAGCCCGACCCCCGGACGGGCTTGAACAGGTATATAGGCCCATGGGCTTAACCTCGGGCCAAAAATCCCAGCCCGCAATAAATTCGAGCCGGGCTTGGGATTTGTCAAAATAGCCCGGCCCGAGCCCGAGCCGGCCCGACCTATAACTAAACCTAAAAACCCTAGTTGAATACCCCTTTTTTTTCACCTCTTTCCCTTCTTTTTCCAACCGAATTCTTCTTCTCCACATCCTCTTTCCCTTCTTTATATTCTTTTTTTAATATAAATAAATTTTGAATTTATATATATTTTTAATGTAAATAAATTCTGATTTATATTGATTATTGAATAGGGAAAATTTCTAATTTTTTTTATTAGGTCGGGCTTCGGGCTCGGGCTCGGGCCCAAGTTGTAGGCCTGTTGGTCGGGCCGGGCTCGGGATCGGGCCTAACATATTTCTATCAATGAAGAGTAAAAGCCCGGCCCGGCCCGGCCCATGAACAGGTCTAGAGGAGGGTGAGGGAGGGGAAAAGAAGAGGAGAAAGGGAAAACAAGGTTAAATAGGTTTTAAAAGAAAAAGGGCAAAAATAGAAAATAGAAAAAGTTTAGTACGGTATTTTGGTAATTTAACGCATTTCATCATCTGGCTTAACGGTTAAGGGGGGTTTTTGTCTCATAGTCATAGTATAAGGGGGTCTTTGTCGCAAAATAAAGTACAGGGGGGTCTTTGTAATTTATCCAAAAAAAATTATACAATCAATAACGCCATGTTTGGTTTGAAAGAAAAAGTAGGGAAAGGAAAGGAAAGGTGTAAAGGTTTCCCTACCTTCTCCTTCAAACCAAACATAACCTAAATGATAAATTAAGATTTTCTGATCAAAATCCAGCAGAAATCTAGAAATAAGAAAATATTTCCTTGTAGAACTTTTGAAACGTAACTGTTAGGTTTCAATGTAGAAGAGGGTGGAAAAGTTATAATTTCAGCCTGAAATTAATATTTTAGAACCTTTTACAGTAAAATCTTGGTTTCTGCCCTTTTGCATCAAAAGTTCAAAACAAAACAATCTTAGGCTGCATTTGACTCGTCTCCTTTTTACAGTTAAATTGCCCCTATGATTACTGAGTTTTTAACTGTAAAAAGGAGATAAGTCCTTTTTAAATGCATGGGGGTGCATTTAAAAATGTACATGCACTTCTTTTAATTTTGTCTCTAGGCTGTCTTTGGTTGCAGTACAATTTTATTTGCACTATTACAAATGCATAGGGGTGCAAATGAATAGAACGCAAATTCTGGCTTAATTTTGTTTTGGGTTTTACTTTATTCTATTTCAGGTCTTATTTTACTTCATTTGTATTGTAATTAAACAACATAAGTTAAAATATGAAACAAACACAAATCAGAATTTGCCTCTAAATCATTTACACCACCATAGTTTTGTATCAGTGCAAATAAATTTGCACTGCAATGAAACACAGTCTCATAAGACTCAGTTTGAAAAGAGTACAAATACATAAAAAATATAAGGTTTTGCATTCAACATATTTATATTTATACTCCTTCCAAACTGAGTCTAAAGAAATTTAACTCTTAGTTGGTAATAATATAATCTCATAGTCGTAGGTAGCTCTCAGACTGAGACAATGGCATGGTGAATTGGCAACAGGCGGCAGGTGCATGTTGGTACTTGCTAGGTCTTCAAAGAGCTACAAAGTGCCTGGGAGAACAATGTAGAGCCACAAAAGGCTGTAGGCTCAGCACATTAGCATGTGAAGATCCTATTTACTATGGGACAAGGATGGTAATTGATAGAGAAAGATTGGCTTGGGCAGAGAACAAACATGCAAGATCAATGTGCATAGAAAGCGCTGACAATTATGAGTATGGCCTCTATGAATGGACTATCTACTTGGTTGCAAATGCAAGTCGTGTCGAGAAGATACTTCTTCCTATCTTCTGGGGTCTAATGAATCTATGGTATGTATGTATATATGTATGTATGCTTTCATTTTTTTCTTGTTTTTTCACATTTTTATCTAATTCTATTTTGAGGTTTCAACAAGTAAAACAAAGTCAGGATATATCTCATCAACTGTTGTATGCTTAATTTAACCACTAATTAATTGTATAAAGTCCAGCGGTTGGGTTACCACTTGGGACAACGTTTGGGTTTAATTTAGAAAGTAGTAGGGTTGAAATGAATTTCTTGTATAATTCAGTTATTTCTGTGTTCCTTGATCAGTACGTTCGGGAACCTCCAATGCTCAACAGAATGGCTGGAGACAGTTTTCAACATCATCGTTATAGCCTGCGGCCTCCTTCTCGTAACCATGTTGATTGGAAATATCAAGGTATATACTTGATACTAGCAAATTAAAGGTTCTCTATATATTAAATATTAATGAAGTGTGTTGATTATGATCAAGATATCGATCATCAAATTAATTAAACTAGGATTTGATAAGAGGGTAGATTATTCATCACTAGTTAGTTAAGCATGTCCAAACAGAACTGTATTGATGTATTCAACAGGTCCAAGGGTTGTATGCAATGTTTTAAACTAACTAGGGTTCTGTTTTAAAATAAACAGAAATGTTCTGGCCACTGGTTTTTAGGTTGATGGTTCAATCGTCTGGTTCTAATGGATGGCATGTTTTGAAAAAAATAAAATTAAAATAATTAAAATAAAAAAGCAGCCAAAACTATTGAATGGGTCAATGATTCCACCGTTTGAGTCAATGGATCATTGACCAATTCAATGGTTTTTGGCCAAAGACCGAATTTGGGGTAAAATAGAATCGATTACCTGAGTGGTTCTTAGGCCAAACGGTCCCACTATCTGGGTCAACTGCGGTGGTTGTATGTAGAGGATTAACTGAACAATTGCATATATAATTTGCTTGTGTATGCGAGTATGCATATGAGTATGTAGTCTCTCTCTATACACTGTTGTAACATAAATTTGGATGCAATGGAAAATAAAACAGGTTTTCTTGCATTCAATTACATCAAAGAAACAAGCAATGCAATTAAAGATGAGGAATGTGGAATGGTGGATGAGGAGGAGAAACTTGCCTCAGGGGTTCAGGCAAAGAGTACGTAAGTATGAGAGGCAACGGTGGGCAGCTATGAGAGGGGTGGATGAATGTCAGATAATTCGATACCTACCCGAGGGCCTCAGGAGGGACATCAAATATCATCTCTGTCTTGATCTTGTGAGACAGGTATGTAATTAATTAACAACTTTATATATATTTTCAAAACACTTTCTTGTTACATTTCTTGGTTCATGTCATGAGTTTAATTTGCTTTTGCTGTGATGAGACAAGCGTTATCAATCCAACACATTAATTGCTTCATCCAAACTCCCTTCCTTACTGGAATCCGACCTTGAATTCTTTCATTTAAAGATCATATAATAAATCATCTAATATATATATTAGGCAGTTTAAAATTCTTAAGCGAAGCTTGTCCAAGATTCACTAATTTAAAATTCTAGGATGTTAACTGAATTAGGCTGTTTACAAGTCAATAAATTCATTAATTTGGGTTAGTTTTATAATTGCCACATCAGAAAAAAAAACACCTTCTTGAAAATTTTTTTGGGTTAGTTTTATTCCGAAAAGCAATTTATGTTTTTGAAAAAAAAAATAAAAACAATATTTGTAGTATGAAACATGTTTTTTTTTTAAACATATTGGAAACAAAGAACACATATACAACTAAGGACACATTTTCTGTACTTTTATTTTATTTTAAGAACCAATTTGTTTTCAAATCAGATGGTTTTGACCTCTTTTGAACTCACAATAAGAAAAACAATTCACATTGTAAAACACCCCTTAGGCTCACGTTTTATTATAACCAAGTGAATAATGCCATATGATACATAAAATATGCTTAAACACCCCGAAGTAATTTTTACATTTCAAACTTTCAAAAACATTCAAATTGAAGGGAAAATTCATTTCAAAGGAAAGGCTCTTTGAGTTCTCATACTCCTAGGAGCAAGGAAAACTGAACTACTAAGGGGGTGTTTGGAAATCTTATGAAGTCATAGGGCTTGCCAACAAAACTTAATAAAGGAAATATTAAGGCTCAAGTCGTGCATCAGCAAAAATCATGCATAGGAATGCACAGGCCCAATGTAGATAGGGCTGTCAAAGGGTCGGAACCAGGTAGAACCGGTCCCAGAACTGATAGGGGAACTCGTGGACCTGGAACCGACCCAGACCCTACAGGGTCTGTAATTCTGGACCCAGAATCGAATCAATCGGTTATTGGGACAATCAGGTCTAAATCGATGGACCCGATTTTGATATGTATGCTAATAATACCCTGCTAAAAGATGCATAAAAAACCCTGTAAAAATCTAAAATGCAATGAAAACCCTGCTAAAAATAATAAAAAAATCTGTTGAAAAGGAAACTGATAAAAAACAATAATAACTGTATTGATGTATACAGTATATATTTAATGGTCGGGTCGGGTCCAAATCGGCTTGGGACAAAGTGGACCCGGTTCCAACTCGATAATAATTGGAAAATTTTTTCGAAAACCGGAACCGACCCATCGGGACAAGTTCTGGAACCAGAACTGCCCCAATCGACCCAGTTCCATCGGGTCTATCGGGCCTCACAACCTCAGACTACAAAATTTTGATTGAGTCCATCATTACTATTAAAGCCATTAGGAATATTGAACATCACAACTCCAACAGCCAAAATACTGATAAAAGATTACATCCAGGTCCAAGTACATATCAAAGACACAACTATTTTAATCCCGAAAGCAAATTATTAGTTTATGTTTATGTAAATATATTAGAAAAAGCTCTGTGTGCTTTCAAGGCCCATTTTAGAGCAGCTGGTTGGTTGGCTATGCTTTCAAGGCCCATTCAGGTCCCAACTGCAACTGGACGAGGCCGTGTTGGACCGCTCAGTTGTGGGTTGTCGATCTCTATCCGCTGGATGAGACCCATCAAGGGATCTATCTTTGTCATATTCCATGAGTCTTGTGCTTGTAGCACTGCATTCAGCCTGAGAAGGCGCGAGCAGAGTTCCCTCCTTAAAATTAAGAGAGAGAGAGAGAGAGAGAGAGAGAGAAGAAAAGAAGAGGATGATATTATCTTCATTAATTCCATGCAACTATATATTCTCTTTTCTTCAATATAATCATAGAAAGAAGTATTTTGTGTCAGGTACCACTGTTTCAACATATGGATGATTTGGTCCTTGAAAACATATGCGACCGTGTGAAGTCCCTCATCTTCCCAAAGGGAGAGACGGTAAGCTCCAATGTTGATGAACACTAATTACACAGACTCCTCTCCTCTCACGAATCTCACGTAGGACTGCAACTCGATCGGCCTAATCAATCTGCAGTGATCACCCCATTCGAGTAACACTAATACTAATACACACAGTGTGTGTGCTGAGTGCAGATCACTAAAGAAGGTGACCCAGTAAGAAGAATGTTATTCATTGTACGGGGCCACCTTCAGAGCTGCCAAGTACTAAGAGACGGTGTACAGAGTTGCTGCATGTTGGGACCCGGCAACTTCAGTGGAGATGAGCTGCTGTCATGGTGCCTGAAACGGCCATTTGTTGAACGACTGCCACCATCATCGTCTACACTGATAACACTGGAGACCACGGAAGCGTTTGCACTGGAAGCGGAGGATGTGAGGTACGTGACCCAGCATTTCCGCTACACTTTCATCAACGAGAAAGTGAAGAGGAGTGCACGGTATTATTCGCCTGGGTGGAGAACCGGGGCGGCAGTGGCGATTCAACTAGCTTGGAGGAGGTATAAGCATCGGTTAACGCTGGCTTCCTTGTCGTTTTTACGGCCCCGAAGACCATTGTCGCGTTCTTCTTCTTTGGGAGAAGACAGACTCCGGCTGTATACTGCTATCTTAACGGCACCAAAGCCCGATCAGGATGCTTTCTCCTTCGATTCTGATTCTATTGCAAACTGTCTCTAATTCTAGCTTAACGCTGCCCTTATCTGTTCTTTTGGCCCCGGCCCCAGTTTCATAAATCTATACATATATATATATATATATATATAGAAAAAGGAGAAAGCCCATTGGGCATTGACATTGATTGGCGTTCCATCCATGGGTCCTTAATTTGAATAACTAATATGTAGTCCAAGCCAAATCATATATAAGATCGATGAGATTTCAGTGGGCTGAGTTGGGCTCATGTTCAGCAGAAACATGGGCCATACTCGTGGAAAACGTCATGACTAACGACCATTTAAGTAATCTGATTTGTAATGGTTCAAATTAAAACCTTGAAACTAAAATGTATAGATAAAAAAAAAAATCTAATAAAAAGTCAACCCAATTTACATGGGCCGCATAGCCCACGTTATATCTTTCTACACAAAAACGATGGAACTCCTACGGTGGATAACAGAGCCACGGCACCCGTGATTGAGGGAACCTTAAACCGCAAAAGTGAATTGGACTAGTAACCCAGAAAGGATATATTAATTACATTTGATGATACATACATACAAAATTATAATTGTATTCTGCTATAACACATTATTTTATTTTATTTTTAGCTTTTCTGATATACAAAAATTAGATTTGATGCCAAAAGAGGCATTTTTTTTGGCAAAATGGTGGGGCAAGCCAGAATGAAACCTTGTCATCACATAGATTACAGAATGAAACCTTGTCATCACATAGATTACAAAAAGTTATTATTGAATGAAAAGAAATATAGTAATTCAAATTACATTTTGGGCCCTCATAATTATAGAGGGATCAAATTCAAAAATAGAGGTATTATAGTTAATAATATGATTCAATGAATGTTAATAGAAGTTAATGCCTTAAATATAAGACTTAATGAGAAGGATTTAAGTGAGGAAAGAAGTGGTTGTTCAAATCACATATTTGTCCTTATAATTAGAGAGCAACCAAATTCAAACAAAAGTTCCATCATCATTCACACTTTTAATAGTAGTATATATAAAAAGAGAGATATCTACAACATGAATTGGGACAACTATTGTGCTCCAAAAGAAGAGGGCAGCCTCGGGTTCAGACCTCTCAAGGATTGGAATCTGATCTTTTGGTAAAGAACGTATGGCATTTGATCAATGATAAAAAATCTCTAGTTTGAAGGAAGATATTTATAGAGGCACTCCCTTTGGACCCTTCCCATTCCAGCTTGTTGTTCTTGGGCAGTTCGTAGCTTGCTCTAATCCAGAGTCCATGCTCAACATCATGTTAGGTATTTCATTGGGAATGGTAGAAGTGCATTATTATGGCTGGACCCTTGGCATGACAAAGGGAATTTAGGAATCATTCAGGCCTCGAGGATGGCTATGGTAAGTTGTATGTATGGTCCAGGATCCTTGCTTCAATCCTTTTGGGATGAATCCCTAGCGAATTGAGGACCCACTTCTTCACTCCTAGCGAATCTTGGCATGCATGGACTCCTCCCCTAATTGAGGTTATTTGCATTTAGAATTTTCTTTTGACACCTGTCCCTTAAAATAACCTTAGCTTATTCTTGAAATGGATTAATAACCACTTTTGGCAATTGTCAAAATATTTATCAAGTGCTCATTTAATGTGCTTATTTTGTTGTGTCTACTAGATTTAGTTCGCTTTGAGTGAGTCTCAGAGAGTGGGTTTGGTTATATTTTACAGCACCATCTTGGTCTCCTATTTGTGCTTTGGCGGTGGAAACAAATGTTGCTCCTATTTTGGTTCAGAAAGTCAAAGATATCCATAAAGGAGTTCAAATCAGCCACCCACAAGACTGCCCCCCATCCCACAGCACAACCCCGTCATGTATTGGGAACATCCCCGGGAGATGTTACCAATTCATGGTGAGGATGTGCTCCATAGAGTCATTATTGAAGCTTCCAGTCGCAATATAAAGAAACCCCTGGTTCAATCTGTTTCCCTCGCTCTATAAATTGCCTTAATAGGGTCTCTTCGGCTCCTTGGAAGATTTGGTGGCATATTGCAAAAATTTGGGCATTAAGGCCTCTTTTTGTTGTATTTCTTTTGTTCATGTAATTAGAGAGTCCAATAGTCTTGGTAGCGGATCCGCTTTTCCCGCTATTTTTCTTTCAAACCAAATACATCCTTAAAGACAATCTTATCTTTTTTATACATGTTGGTTGTGTTGGGCATTTATCATATAAACATTTGTTAATAAACACCACTTAAAATGTTTTCTCTTTTCGTTATTTGGTTGGGCTAATTTGCTGGCGTTTAAAGGCACTTGCCAACTCAGCGATGAGAAACGTTTCCTATCTTGTGCTGTTTGGAAGGACATTTGACATTTCAAGAAGTGGGCCATATGGGTGATTCGGTGTGGCACCTCTCCTTGATTATTAAGTGCCATATTTTGAAATCTAATGGTCCAAATTACTCTTTGTGCATATTTTGTAATCAAACGGATGATTTTGGATGACAATCATATCCAACGGCCCAGGTATGGGCCGATGGTTGAAAATACCCTTTGTGTGCGTCGAATGTATATATATACATCCTAATAACAAATTTCGGAGTCAATTTACTTGTTCTCTAATGCATTTTACTTGCCATATGAATTCAATGAATAACAAGCTTCCAGAATTTATCATTCACACGTTAGAATTGGATAGAGTTCCACAAATTGGCATACACTTGACATGCCCAAGATATGGAAATTTCTTCCATCGGGCTTCGCCTACGTACGTGTATCCGTTAATCATTTGGTTTGGTACAGATTCACCAAAGTAGTTTCAGCATAAATTCAAAGGAGTAGTTAGTTGTAGCCCATGTCCCTTTCAATGCTCATGTCCTAGCTTTACTACTTGTTTTTGTACCCAAAGCCTAGAAATGAAGAAGAAAGAAGATGATTGAAGCAAAGGAAAGTTTACCGGATGATCGACTTTCAGAGGAAGGGATAGGCATGATATACCGTTTAGATCGGGAAATAAACAACAATGAAGCACCTTCCCAATGCATGCAACAGCAACACCTCGCCGGATTAGGGCTGCCATACCAAAAAAAAAAATTACGACTGGCATTGAGGAGAGGGATTTTGTAGCGGTCGACGACAACTTACGTGCGGCACACCCTCTCTGGTCAATGTGAGAAGCAAACCTCTCTACGACTATCCTTGCGAAAAGTCCCTCTTGCATAGTGGTAAGGGTTTGGGGCATGGGAGTTTCTTCGCAATTTCAATGATCCACGAAGCACCACATATCTCTTCCTCAATCGCAACATCACCATCCACATATGTGCCACGTCAAATGCATGTTTCGTGAAACACAAGGCCGTTGGGGGAAGCGAGAATTTTTCACTTCCCCTAACGGCTCATTGCATGAAAGTCCACTCATTTCCGTTTATCGGTGTTTTTTTTGATAAACGGTCGCACCAAACAATCAATTAACCTCTAATAAATGTTTATCACGTCAAACGCCTATGTGCACCTACGTGGCAGCGTTTATTGCGAAAACGCCCACTATTCCAAACACTGCCTTAGTTGGTAAGCCATCCTTAGAATTTATTAGGCCAAGCCAAACTTTCTAATTTGACTTCTTCAGTCCACTTAGGGAGGGAGTATTGACTAGGGGCGAGCAAAATAAATCGAAAAACTGACAGAAATCAAACCGAAAAATTGGTTAACTCGGTTCTGTTTCAGTTAACCAATTTAAAAAATCGAAGGTTAATCGGACCAATTGGTATACATGTTTTTCTATATATTTATGTATATTATATATTTTAAATTAATAATAAATACACATTATATATAACTATATATGTATATATAATATAATATTATTTATTATTTAAAATATAATATTTTATATTTTTATAAATTTTTATAATAAATATTATAAAGTCAAAAAAACTAAAAAACCAATGAATCGAAACGTCTATTAATCGAACCAATCAACCGATTAACCGACCGGTTTTAGTTCGATTCCGATTACCAGTTTATCAAAAACCGATACTACCGTTCGGTTCACAAAAAAGGCCCACGGTTCGGGTAACCGTGAGCACCCCTATTACTATTGACCAATACATCTAATTTTACAGATATAACAACTCTTATTACTTTGAAAAAACAAAATCATATTCCATGAGCAGGTCCGGATAAGCTGAAAAAGAAAAGCATGTATAAGGGGCTACGAAACCAATCCAAAGCACTCAGTATTCCAAACGGCCCACACTATTTTATGTATAAAGAAGACTGATTTATCAACTCTTGATTGGTTCTGTAGCGTATTGTACACGTCTTTGTTTGTGATCCATCCGACTTTTGACAAACACCCCAAGATGATCCTTGTATCTATTTTATTTTTGCTTTGTTCTTTGTAAAAGACTCATTCCATCTCCATGATTTATTATAAGTTTAGCAAGATGGGCTACACTACAATATTTATATATACTTGCCAAAAGATCAAAAATAAATAAATAAAATAAAAAGATAGGCTACATTTATGGAATCACATGAATTAAGCCTATGTTTGGATTAACCAATTTCTTTGGGGTGTGGTAAATAAAAATTAATTAATGTGACAAAAATTGAGGCTCCTGAAGCTCATCCAAATGCAAGCTAAGTCTCACTTTCATTTCAGACCCAGAACCAGCATGACATACATTGCACAATACCATTGATGTTACTCAATCTGAGGTAGTTTAGGAATTGAAGATGGCAATCAGATAGTCTTCGCTGGCAGGTCGGGGCCGAGCTTCAAGGACGATGCTGTGCTTCAAGATCTGCGATCAAGGAATAAGTCAGAGGCCCGAAGAATTACTCCCGGGTAAGTACTCTAACGCTCAAGTTAGTAGGAGGTGGTGGATGGTCGGGCCGAGCTATAGGGATGCTGGTCCGGGATAATTAGCAGTGTAGGTGTTAGAAGTCAAAACTCTCTTACCTCGAGCATGGAGTACCATTTTTATAGACAGAGGGTCCATATCCTGATTGGAGTAGGTTTCTAGGGAAATCGGGGCAGAGTTCCCCGCTGAGGATACAAGGGGTAGAGTCCTACTCCTCGGCG